ATAAAGTCATTAATATTAACATTCTTATAGCACAAATTCAAAATATTAGTTGCCAGATATGATTTTCCACTCCCTTGACATCCTCTCATTAATACTAAAACTTTGAAGCGTTTTGATACTAAATATAGTATTTTATTAATAGGTGTTTCAGTTTTGGATAAACGTTCCCAATTAATTTTTGGAATATTGGAAGTAGAAGCTGCGGCTGATTGATTTTTCTCGTCATTAGATAGTAAATGTAGATTTGGTTCAGGATCAGGAATCTTCGTTATTTCAATAAGATCACGATATGCCAATAACACTATTCAAAATTTAGGAAACAAAATCAAAAGATTATTTTATTTTAACATGATATCTTATAAATAATTATTGAGAACAATATCTATGATAAATGGGCTTTCAGTCMTTTACTCGGTCATTATAAAACAAAATTATGCCATATTGTTGGCAATGAATTAGAAACAATAATAAGATAAAAACTGATGAAATTCAATTTCAGGATAAACTAAATTGGTCTACCATTTTAAATTATTGAATTAAAAAGTAATAATAATAGTATGGTTAATTAAAAAAAGTTAATTTTTTAATACATAGGTAATTGGTAGCATGGGCGCAACTAGGGGGGTCTTGGGAGTGCTYAGCACTCCCAAAATCAAAATTAGCACTCCCAAATTTTCTGTACCGATTTTTTACATTATCGGTGACAGTAACACTTCTGATTTTAAAACAAGGGGGGGGGGTTCTCATATTGTGCTTTAGATTTTAGCACTCCCATAAATTTTACCCTAGTTGCGCCCATGATTGGTAGTATTTTAATATTAAAAAAAATTGATTAAATAAATATTATAAATTATAATATTTATATTCTATAATAACCCCTTATAGGCTAAGTTCAAATTTGAAAGCTTTATAGTGTAGACAACAAGAACCTTTCTACAGTTTTAACCCGAAGGCCAAGACCATAGATTATAAAAATAAAATAATGGATACAGAAAAATACACTGGGATTTTTCTGTCGCTGAAAAGTCTAGATTTCATCTATTTTTAGATATTTATGCAATTTGTATAACAGGTATAATGTTGAAACTTAAATGTAAATAAAGGTAAAGTATAGTACATAAATATTGAATTAAAAACCAATTTGATACACTATTAAATTAAGATGATGAAACTGTGAAAGTTACATTATTATACAATATAAGTATTTAGACATGATTTAAGCAAATTATAATTACTTGAAATTTATAGCTTACAATCATTATTTCTGCTTTCTATCACCATTTCAATAACATCATGATCAACGTGTCCAGTAAATAAATTCAGTAAATCTTCTTTTGTATTTAAACAACTCCAGCTCATGTTTTTTATTGAGTAATTTGTCATCTAAAAAATGAAAACCAAATACATATTTATAAATGTTTAACCTTTATATAAATTAATAAATTAAGAATAAGAATTAATGTTTAAATATAAATAGAATACGAATGTAATAACAAATGTCCACTACTCTGTATTAGAATAAAGTATTATAATATAAATCATTTTTTAGTACCGTTTATCAATTTGAAAGTTTTGATTTTTTTAATTGTCTATTAATAGTATTATTATTTATTTTATTAATCTTTAAACTCACAAATTATCTATAATATAATAAATAATTGAAAAAATTAATTACAATGGTCATACTTTAGTCTATGGTAAACTTTGTTCTTTTGATTGTTAAGTGTAGACTGAACTGCTGTACCTACTACCTAGCTGACTGTTGGCACACACTACATAGTTTTAAATTTTTAAATTTTTAATAATCAGACATAAGCCTTTGAGTCGACAAGAAAATATTTCGATTACTGATACAGTTATACCTAGCTGATAAGTGATAACCCGCAACACGTGTCAACATATTCAGTGCGCGCCCACAAAATACGCGCCTAAAGAGTAAAGACCATAGACTTATGTCTATGGTAAAGACTCAACTACCAGAGTACCAGACCCCAATAGAGAATCTTGGGAAATATGTACACGCACCACGATTTAAGATATATCTTAAATCGTGATACGCACATAAGTATAATCATAGAATATTAGTATAATATTGCTTAATGCATCAGCCATCAAGTGTTCTTATCAATCTGTTATAGCTTTAATTTTATTATTTATATCTTACATACTTACATGCTTAGATCATAATGTACGTATATGATCCAAGCTYACGTGTTATAATATGACATTACGACAAAACATATTTATTTTTTAATATTAAAAATATGTGAACGGCGGGCCCACCTCTTCGTCCTCTTTCCTCAYAAGACCTTTCTTATTGACCTATATTATATTGTATCTACGTCAAKTATATCGAATAATGTCAACATTGTTAGAAGGAGATACCCAATACCCGTGCCATGGACACCCGCGGACACGGCTTTAGCCTTTAGATGTTTAGATAGACAATMTTTATCTTATGCACGGTTGCACCACAGAATATGAAATATATTTCGTTGCACCGTGGACAAACGATCATTGAAAACAGTCCAATAGTAAATAAGCTAGATGGGGCCACATCTTATATTATGATTTTTAATATTATGATGTTAACCCATAGACCTTATACCATTATAGAGTATAAGGTCTATAATATGTTAACCATGATTTAAGATATACAAGTATTATAGTATAGTATTATCTTAAATCATGATGTTAACCGTGGTTTTGGTTTTTATTATATATTACGTAATATAGCCTAGCCATAATATAGGTCATGATCATAGACATAATAAGATAACAAAATAAGATATCTTATTATTCTATGGTCATGATATAGGTATAATTCTGTTTATCAACATTTTGTTGACAAT